CCGTCAAATTCACTACGCACCTTCATCGGCATTCAATCACCGAAAATCACTCACAGAACTGTTGGAAATAAGACCTTTTGTGTTTAGGAAAAGTGTGTGGGAATATTAGAGGCTTAAAGAAAAACTTGATAGGTGGAAGAATTATTTATGGAAGAGAGAACTTTGTATTTTACTTAATGCAAAAGTGTAGAATTGCATCTCTATTTATAGTACTCTAAGGAGAACTCTAGACACACTAATTCTAGAGAGTTCTCAACTCTAGGAATTCCAAGAGCATTCTAAAGAATACTACAACCTTAAGAAATATCTAGACACTCCAAACATTACAAGAGTTTTCTAGAAACATTAATTAAAATTACCTAAGTCCAAAACAACTAAGCCCAAAAATCCAAATAATATTTTAGGCCCAAATCAAGTTTAATCTTTCAACATCCCCCCTTAAACTTGATTTGTGACTCCAAGCATACTCCTTAGCTTTATGAACGTTTCCAACTTGAGTGGCTTGGTGAAAATGTCGACAGCTTGATCTCGAGACATCACATACTTCAACCTCACATCCTTCTTCTTGATGCATTCTCTTATAAAGTGGTAACGAGTGTCTATGTGTTTACTTCTTTCATGAAATACAGGATTCTTTGCCAAAGCAGGTGCTGCTTTATTGTCAACACGTATTTCCATAGGATCTTCTTGTGGCATTTTTAACCCTTTCAACAAGTTCCTTAGCCAAACTGCATGGCAAACACATGATGTAGCGGCAACATATTCGGCTTCACAAGTTGACAGTGTGATGATTGGTTGCTTCTTTGACATCCAAGTGAAAGCAGTATCTCCCATAAAGAACACAAAACCAGTAGTGCTTTTTCTATCATCCAATTCTCCACTCCAATCGCTATCACTATAGCCAACAATTTCATAATTGTTAGAAGAGTAATAGTGTAAGCCAAAGTTTGTTGTACCTTTGATATATCGAAGGATTCTCTTTGCCGCCTTGAAGTGAGTTGTTGTTGGAGCTTCCATGTAACGACTTACGACTCCTACAGCATAGAGAATATCTGGCCTTGTACTTGTCAAGTAACGTAGACTTCCAACCAAACTTTTGTAAAGAGTTGGATCCACAATCTCTCCATTTTCATGCTTACTCAACTTGCTGCCACATTCCATCGGGATGCCAACCGGATTAGCATCATCCATCTTGAACTTCTTAAGGACTTCTTTTGCATAGCCTTCTTGGGTGATAAAAATTCCTTTATCTTCTTGCTTTACTTCAATGCCAAGATAATATGCCATGAGCCCCATATCTGTCATCTCAAATTCATTTGACATGTCTTTCTTGAACTTTTCGAACATGCTTAGATTGTTCTCAGTGAAGATCAAGTCATCAACATATAAGCACACGATCAAAATATCTCCACTTTGCGCTTTAATATAGAGTGCATGCTCATATGGACACTTGATGCAATTCTTGTCTCGAAAGTACTTGTCGATTCGAACATTCCAAGCTCTCGGAGCTTGCTTGAGTCCGTACAACGCCTTTTTCAACTTGAGGACTTTTTCTTCTTGCCCTTTTACTTCATATCCTTGTGGTTGCTCGATATAAACTTCTTCTTCGAGAAAACCATTCAAGAAGGCTGACTTCACATCCATTTGATAGATCTTCCATTCATTCTGGGCTGCCAAAGAAATGATCAGTCTAATAGTTTCAAGACGAGCAACAGGGGCAAATACCTCATCATAGTCAATTCCTTGTCTTTGACTATAGCCTTTTGCCACCAATCTTGCTTTGTATCTTTCCACGTCTCCTTTTGCATTCTTCTTCGCCTTGTACACCCATCTTACTCCGATTGCTTTGTGTCCTCATGGAAGTGTAGTAAGTTCCCACGTGTCATTCTTTGTGATTGACTTTATTTCTTCATCCATGGCGTCTCTCCACTTTACATTTTCAACAGCTTCTTGATAGCTTAGAGGCTCGCAATCACCAAAAAGACAAAAGAGGTTAATGTCATTTTGGTTTTTGGTTACCTTATAAAGTTCTTCAATGCTCCTTAATCGTGGTGTCCTTTCAATTGTGCTTGTTTCATCCAACCTTGGTGTCGGTGAGGCAGGTGGTGTAATATGTTCATCTATCATTAGTTGTTCCATTTCATCTTCTTCTTCTTCAAAATAAGGAAGAAAATCATACATGTCTTCTTGAACACTCCAACCCCAACAATCTTCTTCTTCAAACTCCATGTCACGACTTATGACAATCTTTCCGCTATTTGGATTATAGAGCTTGTACCCTTTGGAGCTTGAGTCGTAACCCACGAATACATACTTCTCACTTTTATCATCGAGCTTTGTTCTCCTTTCATCTGGAACGTGGGTATATGAAATGCTTCCAAACACTTTGAGGTGAGGGATACCTGGCTTCCTTCCACTCCATGCTTCTTGTGGTGTCTTCTCATGCACACTTCTCGTTGGGGAACAGTTTGTCAGGTAAACCGCACATGCTACTGCTTCGGCCCAAAACTCTTTCGGCATCTTCTTACTCTTAAGCATGCTTCACACCATATTAAGTATGGTCCGGTTCTTTCTCTCCACTACTCCATTTTGTTGTGGCGATCTTGGCACTGTTAGTAAGCGGCGGATTCCATTCTCTTCACAATATTTGTTGAACTCATTTGAAGTAAACTCTCCTCTTCGGTCAGATCTCATAGCCTTAATAGAAAGACCACTTTCTTTCTCCACAAGGGCTTTGAACTTCTTAAAGTTTTGAAACACTTCTGACTTCTCCTTCAGGAAATAAACCCATGTTTTTCTAGAATAATCATCAATAAATAGAAGAAAGTATTTATTCTTACCAAAAGAGTTTGGATTGATTGGTCCACAGACATCAGTGTGTATGAGCTCTAGTGGTTTTGCTGCTCTTGATGTTGATTCCTTTGGAAAGCTTTTTCGGAATTGCTTCCCAATTAGACATCCTTCACATAGTTGGTCTGAGTGGTTTATACTAGGCAAGCCTCTCACCATCTCCTTCTTTGACAAACATTCTAGACTATCGAAGTTGAGGTATCCAAATCATAGATGCCATAGCCACGAAGAGTCGGTATAGCAGGCCTTGAGACACTGTGCCACATCATTTTGAATGTTCAAGAGGAACATTCTATTCTTTGACATAGGCACCTTAGCGATCAAGTTATGCCCACAATCTCTTAAGAAAAGAATATGTTTTTTCAAGTGGATGTCATATCCTTTCTCCAATAATTGTCCCAAGCTCAATATATTATTTTTCATGTTAGGAACATAGTAGACGTTGGATATGAATTGATGACTCCCATTCTTTAAGCGTATGAGAATTTTACCTTTGCCTTTGACCGGTATCTTTGAGTCATCTCCAAATGAGACATTTCCAGTTGTCGCTTCATTGATCTCTATGAATATGCTTCGATCGCCGCACATGTGGTTGCTTGCGCCGGTGTCGAGGTACCACTTGTTTATTTTTTCTTCAAATTGGTTTTGGCACGCGAGCAGCAAAGTTTCTTCTTCTCCACCTTTTCTTCTACAAAGTTAGCTTTCTCCACAACTTTCTTTGAGAATCTACACTCAGATGCATAGTGACCGATTTTGTTGCAATTGAAGCACTTGATTTGTAACTTGTTGCACCTTGACCATGAATTTCCATTTCCACGACCTCCTGTTGCTTGTGGATTCCAACTTCTTTCTCCATTGTTGAAGTTGTTGGAGTAGTTGTTGTAACTTCCTCTTCTTTCTCCTTCATGTCCTCGTCCACGTCCACGTCCACGGTCTTAGCCACGACCTCGTCCTCTTTGACTCTTGTAACTCACATAATTTGCTTCCTTTGCATTGAGTTGTAGTAGTTGTTCCATAGTCTCCTTTTGTTTAGTTTTTCTCTTTCGTTTTTCTTTGTATGCTTGTAAGGAACCCATAAGTTGCTCAATAGTCATGGTGTTTAAATCCTTGTTTTCTTCAATGTTAGTAACAATGAAGTCAAAACTTGGATTTAAAGTGCGAAGTATTTTTTCCATGACTTTCACCTCATTAATATCTTCACCATTTCTTTTAAGTTGATTGACTACGGACAATACTCGAGAAAAATAATCAGAAATTGACTCAGACTCTTCCATAAATAAACGTTCAAACTCACCTCTAAGAGTTTGAAGACGAATCTTTTTCACCTGCTCCACTCCTTTGTTGCAAGTTTGAAGCTTGTCCCATGCTTCTTTGGCCGTCGTTGCATTGGAGATCTTCTCAAATGTATCTTCATCCACCGATTGATAAATGAGGAAGAGAGCTTTCTTGTCTCTCTTTCTTGACTCTTTAATGTCTCCTTCACACCTTGGCTTAAGGAGGCTTCTTCTTGCTCCTTAAAGCCTTTCCCAACAATATCCCACACATCTTGAGCTCCTAGTAGTGCCTTCATCTTGATACTCCAATTGTCATAGTTGTTCTTTGTGAGTATCGGTATTTGAAAAGGGAAACCTCCATTCGCCATCTTTTGAGGACCTTCAAGCTCTGATGCCACTTTGTTGGAAATAAGACCTTTTGTGTTTAGGAAAAGTGTGTGGGAATATTAGAGGCTTAAAGAAAAACTTGATAGGTGGAAGAATCATTTATGGAAGAGAGAACTTTGTATTTTACTTAATGCAAAAGTGTAGAATTGCATCTCTATTTATAGTACTCTAAGGGGAACTCTAGACACACTAATTCTAGAGAGTTCTCAACTTTAGGAATTCCAAGAGCATTCTAGAGAATACTACAACCTTAAGAAATATCTAGACACTCCAAACATTACAAGAGTTTTCTAGAAACATTAATTAAAATGACCTAAGTCCAAAACAACTAAGCCCAAAAATCCAAATAATATTTTAGGCCCAAATCAAGTTTAATCTTTCAACAAGAACCACCATCTCATAAACCTGGGCCGTTTTCCTTCAAACCTCGCCATCTACATTCTTTGTTCTTCAACCTGCATCTCTGATTGAAAGTTACCCCGAATAATAATGGTTGTGAATTCTACTTCCGATAATACCGCACTTTCAGGAACTGCAAACGAGAAGAAGAATTGGGCTACATCCCCTTCTACTATTTTAAATCACTTTGCCATAAGAGGACTTATCGTTGCAATCGTAACATCGACCACTCATACTCTAGATGTATTAAAAGTAAGGCTACAAATGCAACTTGTTGGTCAGAAAGGTCCTTTGAGTGGATTGGTTTCAAGTCAGATGCATTCAGCTCTTAAATTAGGGAGCAGTGGATATGTGGATCCTAGTAATGTAGTGAGGCTATGTTGCTGCTGTGTGGCTCATGTTGATGCTTCAAACATCACAATAATTCTCAGAAATGAACTTGCGGTTGCTACGGTTATGGGTAATTTCTCGCTGAGTTCGCAGTAATGTTGCTCTTGGTTTTTTAGTATGGCATTGATGTTTTTATTCTTCTTACTGTTAGCTGAAGTTATTGGATGGATTTTGAAATTGTGTGCTGCATAATAGCTTACCCTTTTTGTTCTTGTTCACTTTTTGATTGGAATTAAAAATTAGGGGTTGAGAAAAGTGCTTGTTTTTTTAGACTTCTGAATCCATTTTTTACTCATTACCTGCATGTGGATTTTGCTGAGCTACAAAAGATAACATGCTTTGGTGATGATTCTTGCTCTTAGAATGGAAGACCGGTGCTTATATTTTGTAGAACCATTATTGTTTCTTAACATCATATTCTTTCATAGAATTTTTCTTCTATTGCCTCATAGTTTTTACTTTTTTCAGTTTAAATCTATTGTTGTTGTTGGAAGAATATTTAGTAAATTAACTTTATTTTCATTCTTCTGATAATTTTAGATTGATATTCTACTTAGTAGTTTAAGTAAAGTTTGATAAGGTCAAACTTTATTATTTTTCTCACGATCCATTTTGTTATTTCTAGATGATTGTGTGGACATTAAGTTTTTACTTTGAATTTCTGTGAGAGTGTATCTAATAACGCGAAAACATATATATTAAAATGTCATAATTTTATGTTATTAACGGTCAATTTTACCCCGATTTCGCACCATATTCGCATTGTTGTTTAATGTTTTGCAGGTTTATGAAGTCAATGTTCAAACGAGGCAAGATAAGCAAAACAAGCTCAAAAGGACTTATAATAGAAGAAAAAGAACGAGAAAAGCAGCAAAATCCAATTCTGCTGATATAACGACCGTCATGACCTCACCACGACCGTCACAGGCGTGACGAGCGTCATGGCTCCCCACGATCGTCATAGGCACATTTTTTTCACATTGTCCACTTTCAGAGACGTGCAAACAGAAGCCCAAATTTAGCGCACGACTCCCTGGATTTTCTGACCCTAGAAGTAAACTTCCAACAGCAGTTCACATAGCATTCATACACTATAAATAGAGGGCTTTGGGACTGAAACAGGGGAGTCGCATTGAAGACCACGAAGTGCTGCTGATTTTAATACCAGAAGATATTTTCCTGCTTGTTTCTTTTCTGTTTTGTTTCCCTCCTTTTGTTTCCTTTCCAGAATTTCAATTGTAATTTTTGTTCTTACTTTTCCGCACAATTAATTGTCACAAGAGTAATCATGCCGACATTGTGGAGGATTATCCAAGTGCCAAACCAGAATTAATTACAGGTTCCGTTATTAGTATTAATTGAATTTTATTTATTTTAATATGTATGTTTACGTGTTCTTCCTTTCGAATTCAAGTATGCATGCCTTAAGCTTTATGTCTAGCTAAAACTGCATCGATCGGTATGTAATGAACTAGTAGAACGAGGTTCGACAATAACCGGCGTAATCTTTCTTTTTCAAACTTGTTTTTGGCTCTAGTTTTTAAACCAAAATTATTAAACTAAACTTCGTCGCGACAGCGAGAATTTATTTAAAGCAATCTCGCCACGACAGTGGGGATTCACTAAGGTATGAACCGACATGCGAAAGCTGAGGCTAGGACCAGATAGTAAAAACTGAGCATCTATTTTAAACACAGCGAAAGCATTTTAAAAGAGATAAGAACTCAACGGTTTTCAAAAATCAATTTTAACCCCGAACGGGATAGCGAAAGCATACGTTCCGCCTTAGAGTTGCGACTAGCGTCAACAACCATCGTGAGACAAAAGTCTTTAAACTGTTATTTTCTTCTGAAAAACATCTCTGAAAATTAGTAAACCGCGCCGGTAACTTGTCGAATCCTCGAAGCACTGTGTCATTGCATACCGATTACTTGCATTATTATTCTAAGAAACCTTTAGCTTTTCTTTAGTTAGCTTTTACTATTGCATAATTCCCCTTTAAATCATGATCAACCTAGCTAAACATAGTAACGTTCGAATATACTAGATTGACTACGAGTCCTTGTGGGTTCGATATCTTTACTACTACGCGATAGACTGTACACTTGCAGTCAATTCGATTAGACTCGGAAAGTCGCGATCAAGTTTTTGGCGCCGTTGCCGGGGAACTGTTTAGTCATTAGTGTAATCCTTTGTTACACAGTATAGACTAAGTTAAGTATTCTCTCTCCCTCTACTCGTTCGTAGGTTGTATGCCAAGTACTCGCTCACAAGGCGACATCTTACAACCTACAATCGCCGAACTAGAGTGCTTCTTGCACTTAAGAAGGCGCATCCTTGAATATCAACGAAAACACAACATTCCTGATCTTCTAGCTCATACTCCTATTGAAGAATCAAAAATGGCTGAAGGACCTTAGAACAAACCGCTGAAGGACTACACTACCCCATCTCAGCTGGAGCCTCGAAGTAGCATTGTTGCCCCCGCTATTAATCAGAACGATTTCGAACTGAAACCGTCATTGCTGTCAGCTGTACAACAACATCAATTCTCAGGAAATGCAACCGAGGACCCGAACGAACACTTAACGAAGTTTGTGCAATACGCGGACACAGTGAAGGCAAATGGAGTAACTCGAGATGCAATAAGACTTTGTCTTTTTCCTTTCTCTCTTAGAGATAGAGCTTGGACTTGGTTACAATCCTTACCATCCAACTCCGTTACGATGTGGGAACAGTTGAAGAACGTTTTCTTAGCAAGATACTTTCCGCCAAGCAAAACTGCTATGCTTAGAGCTGAAATCAACGGATTTCGACAGAAAGATGCTGAATCTCTCTATGAAGCATGGAAAAGGTTTAAGGATATGATGAGAGCATGTCCTCACCACGGTTTAGAAGACTGGGTGACGATCCATACTTTCTACAATGGGCTTCTATATAACACCAGATTAACGGTAGACGCCGCCGCAGGCGGTGCACTTATGGATAAGCCATACGATGAAGCCTATCAACTTATCGAAAACATGTCTCAGAACCATTGCCAATGGGGAGGTGAAAGAACTCCATCAGAGAAACCTGCAGCGAAAGGTGGGATGTACGAGATCAACAGTCTTGAAAAGTTCAACGCTAAGGTGGATGCTTTAACGCAGAAAATCGACAGTCTAATTGTAACACCACCTGCAACCGTAGCTGCTGTAACTCCAAATTGCGAGTTATGTGGAATCGCCATTCACAATGCGCCCGAGTGCCCATTATTGGCAGGAATTCCACCAGACCAAGTAAACTACGCTCAAGGTAACCCTTACGCGAATACCTACAACCCAGGATGGAGGAACCACCCGAACTTTTCCTACAAAAGCGATAATGCCTTACAAGCACCGGCTGCTCCGCCAGGATATCAGAAACCAGCCGCAGCTGCCCAGACTGCCCCTAGGAAATCAAATCTCGAACTGATGATGGAAAAATTCATAGCTATTCAAGTTCAAACAAACAAAGAATTCCAGAATCAAAACATACACACTAGCGAGCAGATTAAACAGATGACCGGAAAAGTAGAGGCTTTAGCCACCCATCATAAAATGCTTAAAACGCAGATATCACAAGTGGCTCAACAACAAGCTTCTGCAGCCGCACCAGCTGGGACATTTCCAGGTCAGCCAGAACCTAATCCGAAAGGTCATGCAAACGCTGTCATATTGAGAAGTGGAAAAGAATTGGAAGGCCCAACAGATCCTAGGAATCAAAATTCAGCCATGCCTTATAAATCTAATAAACTAACAGAAAAGGAGTCTGAAACCGAAAAGAAGGAAGGTGACGAGCAAGAGGCCGCCAAAGATGAAAACGCGTATGTGCCTCCACCGCCATATAAACCACCAATTCCTTATCCTCAAAGATTCATAAATTCCAAAACTTCAGGATAATTTAAGAAATTCGTTGAACTTCTGAAACAACTGAATATCACTATTCCTTTCACAGAAGCGATAACTCAAATGTCGTCATACGCTAAGTTTCTTAAAGAAATTTTGTCTAACAAAAGGAAAATCGAGGATAACGAAATAGTTACACTTACTGCCGAGTGTAGCGCAATCATTCAAAATAGCATGCCTCCTAAACTAAAAGACCCAGGTAGCTTCTCCATACCATGCGTCATAGGAAAGTTCGTCATAGACAAAGCTTTATGCAATCTAGGAGCCAGTATAAGTGTTATGCCCCTATCTATATGGAAAAAGCTGAACATGGGAGAACTAAGACCAACTAAAATGTCTGTGCAATTGGCTGACCGATCAGTCAAATATCCCGTCGGTGTGCTGGAAAACGTTCTAGTACGCATAGGTCAATTCTACATTCCAACCGACTTCATAATCATGGACATCAAAAAGGACTCTGTTGCCCTAATTATCTTAGGAAGACCCTTCCTAGAAACAGCCAGACCTATCATAGACGTAAAGAAAGGTAGGCTAACATTCGAAGTAGGAGAAGAAAAGATAGAATTCATCCTCACTAAGTTCTTAAAGGTACCAGCCATAGATGACACGTGCTATCTAGTAGATGTCATTGACGAATGCATACGAGAACTGGAGAAGGAAGAAACTAAATATTCCGAAATCATGAAGATCCAAATCCCTGATATTCATGAAGATGACAATTAGCGTGCGCCATACGAAGATGATAGTCTGAGCGAGATCTTAGCAGTAACTCCCAATCACATGCCGGGTCCGAAAAACCCAGCTTCAGAACTTAAAGAATTACCTAAAACCCTCAGGTACGAATTCTTAGACATAGAATTCAAAAGACCAGTAATAGTCAATGCAAATTTAGGACAGTCAGAAACGGAGAAATTACTAGAAGTCCTAAGGAAATACCCAACTGCGTTAGGCTATAATATAAGCGATCTTAAAGGCATAAGTCCCTCCATCTGTATGCATCGAATCATGCTAGAGGAAGACTGCAAAACTTCAAGAGAACATCAGAGAAGGATAAATCCGATCCTAAGCACTGTAGTCAAAGACGAGGTGAAAAAGTTACTAGACGCGGGAATCATATACCCGATCTCCGACAGCCAATGGGTCAGCCCAGTGCACGTCGTGCCAAAGAAA